ACTTTCTCCTTCCACATGGCAGTTTCTTCTGAGCTAGATTTTGAGCACTCTAAGGCAGTATCAGGCTCGGTCCTAAAAGGGAGGCAGCTTGCCTTGGAGCATAGGTGTAAAAGAGGGACCTCAAGGTCAAAGGACCCCAGGGCACTCAGCTGGCTGTGGTACAGAATGAACCGCTTATCCACAGGCTTCAGGACATGGCAGCGAATGTACCCAAGTGCTAAGAATGTGCCCTCATGGAGATCCCAGACTGTTGCCATCCCTGGCACCCCTCAAGTCAAGCCCTGAGGAGGTCTCATTTTATGGTGAACTGGCAGGCTTGCCTCCTGGGGTTGGTAGGCCCTCTAGAGAGAGGAAATTTTCTCAGGACCATGCTAGGAAAGGGGCAGCATCTGGCCTGTGGGGACAGGGCCAATTGCACTGCTGAGGCACGGGCTGGATTTAAGCCTTTCCTATGTGGAGGTTCAGGGGTGCTCTCAGCCCTCCTTGTTCTGGCTTTCTCATCCAGTGCATTCCCTGGCTGTTGGCTACATGCTACACCTGGACTCTGATGGGCACAGAAAACTGGCAGCCATGGGTAAAGCCGCTGTGCACCAGTGAAGGTGAAGGTCACAGCTAGAGCTGCCAGAGGCAGGCCAGTCAGCTGTGGGCATGCCCTCCTTCCTCCCACACCCAAGGCAGCACAGAGTCTCATTCATTCAAGCTGGGCAGGTCATGGCCACGTGAATGTCATGCTCTGTGCCTAGAGAAAGGGCACAGAGGGACCACAGTCTGCAGTTTGGGCTTCGCCCTTCCTCTGAGTCCTGGGACTATGCCTGAAGCCAGGTTCTGGTCAGGGGGAGGGCAGAACTGGGGACAGTGAGGCCTTGCTCGGAGGATCTTGTCCTAACAGTACTTTTTTTTTTTTTTTTTTTTTTTTTTTTTTGTGACAGGGTCTCCCATGTATTCCCGGCTGGACTTTGTGCATGCCAGGCAAGCACTCTACCAACTCAGCTACATCCTCAACCACACCTTTTTTTCCTCTCTCTTTTTAGCCAGGTCTATGTTGCCCAGGTTGGGCATGAGTAATTCTCCTGACTTAGCCGCTGGTTTAACTGACTGTAGATACATGCAGCTACCACTGATGTCATTTTCTAAATGTTGTTAATCCATATTTTATATGATGGGGTTACCAAGCCTGTGGACAATGAGCTGTGGCTCATTTGGCTGATGGCATGATGTGAGTGTGCGGGCCTGTGAGAGGTCAGCGAGGACGTAACCTCCTGCTTCCCCAAAACCTCGTGTTCTAGGTTGATCAAGGTGAGACCACAGGGGCTTCCCTCCACTCCATTTGAGGTAAGAAATCTTCATGTGGATTTAGTTACTGACAAAGCAAAAAGGGCCAACTCACATTGAGGAAGGGATTCCTCATTCAGACCTCAACTGCTCCTGAATCTTACAGCCACCCTCAAACCAGTGCCTCTTGATGTGGCTTTCTTAGGCTCTGGATTTGCTTGTCCAACAGCTGCCTGCCTGGACATTGGTATGCAGGCACTGTTTCCTGTACTGGACACTCGTGAACTCCTCCCTCCCCTGCAGCTCCCTACCTCAGGTAGCAAGCCTTCAGTAAGTCACAGGCCTGTGTCTTCTAGGCGGGGCAATGCCAACACCAAGCCTCAGCATCATACATCCTCTGGCTGTGGGTCTGAATCCTGTACCTTCCTCTGCTTGCTGAACTATCTTGGACAAGAGGCCCTCTCTGTATTTCTGCATTCGTAAAATTAGGATGACAGTGTGTGCCTCAGGGAGACTGGCTTTAGTATTTATGGAGCATCCACTGGCAGGCTCCAAGTCCCCACTGGTTGTTACTAGATCTTCATTCTCTTACATCCTTCCCCTGTGGCCCCTCCTCCAAGCTCTGGGATAGCCTCCAATCTCCCAGCACTCCCTAGCATAGAGCAGTTGTGGTGGACTGCTAGGGTGAGCTGGGGCACATGCCCAGAACTTCCTCTCCTGCCTCATGAGTCAGGGTTGCTCTCAAGAGCAAACTCTGCTGGGTGTGGGGGAAGTGATGTTGTGGAGAGCTAGTGTGGTCATAGTTGGCCAGTGTTGAGTTCCTTTGTCATAGGGGCCCCCCACCCCACTGCAGAGGCACCCCCAGTACTTCACAGTACACTGGGCAGCTGCTCTTCTGTAGTGAGTCACTGCTGACTTGGATTTAGTGCCAGCTACAAAGAACAGACCCCTCAGCTCCCACGACCACACAAGATCTACCCCTACAGTAACCGTCACTCATAGGTTATGTCTCTCAGATCCACCCCTAGCCAGTACTGAGGATTCAACAGACATTGGACGAAGGAATAAATGAGTGCTTTAATATTTTGACTACTTTCAAATTTTAATTTTCAGAACTAAAACCACGTGATCTTTTTTCTAACCTTCCCTAAAAGACAGATTATTAATGTTTATTATGAACTGTTTCCCAAAGAGGGTTTTTGTTATTGTTAGTTTGATTTGGTTTTGTTGTTTTTGAGACAGGGTCTTGCTATATAGCCCTCAATGGCCTGGTACTATAGACATGTACTACCATGCCTGACACAGATCATAACATTTTAAAGTAACAAAGATGGCTCATGGTGATGATTAAATTGCACATTTACTTAACTGATGGTAAAGGGTTGGGACAGTGTATGTGTGACTTTACTGTAGGGACACTGCACACCATCCCCGACGAGGACTGAGCAACAGGACAGGAAATGGCCTAGGTAGGAACTGGCTGTACATTCACACAAACTTCAGCCTCAAGAAAGCCATACCACACAGGGCCAGTGAAGAGTGTGAAACAGAAGCGAGGGGGCTGGTGCCAACTGTTCCTATCAGGAAATATAAACCAGTTTATGCCCTGCAAATCAATAGCAAATGTGCTGACCTCACAAGGTTAGACCTGACATCAGACAACCAAGTGGAGAAAGCCCCTCAAATGACTCCAACTTCTTTAAGAGTTATTTTTATATGTATGTGTGTGAGAAAGCCCACATGCATGTGGGTGGGTGCCTGTGGAGGTCAGAAGGGGTACTGGATCCCCTGGAGCTGGAGTTACGGTGGTTGTGAGCCACCTGATGTGGTGCTGGTAACTGAACTCTGGTCCTCTGCAAGAGCAAGTGCTCTTAACCACTGAGCCATCTCCTCTGCTCCTGAATCAAACTTCTGAAATCTTTCCACTGAGGTGTCCTCCATGTTTCTCTTTTCTTGGATCATGAAGAAGGAAGGGCTTGCTTAGGTGGGGAGCTGAGGCATGGGCTTTGGAGACAGCCTGGCTTCCAAGACTCAGACTTTGGGGTCAGAGTTGGACCTGGTCCTGGCTCTGCTGCCAGCCTCTTTGATAAGGAAAAGCCCCCCCACCCCCGCAACCCCTTTCTGAGGTTCCAAGTTCTCCTCCACCACAGGGCGACATGGCCATGCCTGTGCAGTCCAGCATGGGCAGGCGCCACACTGCTCTGCCTCAGTCATGGCACTCCACATAGGCAGAGTGCCACACTTCGAAACACACTGGTTCACATCCATCTTCAATCTTTTTAGTCACCTTGGGCAGACCACATCTAGCCTTCCAAGGTCTCCTTTATCCAATAGTGAGCTCTTGCTAGAATACCCAAAACCTTCCTGAAGCAATGCCCACAAGATGGCTATTCACATCACAAGCAGATGCACAAAAAGAAATAAGACAAATCCTAATTACCTCTAATGTAACAAACTAGTAAGATCTGTAAATGAAACAACTGTCTTTCCATATTGCAAACAGCTTGAGGTGGGGTCTACCAGGGAAGAAGGGACCCAGCAGGACAGGTGGCTGGAAGGTTGGTGGGGTCAGCATATTCACAGTACATGTATGAAAATGTCATAATGAAACCTATCACTTTACACAATAAATATGCACTAATAAAAACAATGGTAGTGGTTTCAGACTCTGTTCCCTTCACACTATTGCAGTCACTTCCAGGTCTTATGTACTCTCTAGTCGGCACTGTAGCTCCAGCAGCTGTGTCTGGTATGAAAGGCTCATAGTGGCCAGCATGGCCAGCAATGGAAGCTTCAGAATGCTCACAACGCCTCCCTGGGTACATGCATTTCTCCCCAGAGTCACCACAAGATGAGAAGGGCAGAGGCTGAGTGCAAGAACATTTACAAGGGGCGTGTGCCACGTCCTAGCCTTCTCTGCAAGAGCGGTCCTAACTTCTGGGCAGATGCCTGGCTTTAGTGAAGAGCCTCGTCCAAGAACATTGTGATCTCAATCTCTGCTGGCCACGCTCCAGGACCCTGACACTGGGAGCCTCCCAGGCCATAGCAGGAATGCCCCACCTAGCTCCCAACACTCTGACCATTCCCAGGTCACAGCCTGAAAAACGAGGATTAAGAACAGGAATTGGGCCTCAGGTCACCATGGGTGGCTCTCTGGTATGTCCCACCCTAGATCTGGAACATTCCTCTTACAACCTCTGTGTCCTCCAGGAGTTATTGGGAATGGCTCCTAACTGATGAGGCAGCAACAATGGGACATGGAGCTTTAGTGACTTCTGGGTGATGCTTGGTCAATGGGAGGTGGACAGGTCAGCAGGTGGTGTGTGCAGGAAGGTGGCGCTGGAGACTCCACATGGCCTTGGTGCCCTGCCAAGGTTGGCCCATCTTAGGCCTGGTGCCTTCCCTGTTTGGAGTGGTGATAAGAACATAACTGTCACACGCAGAGGAATGAAACCAGCCAGACTGTGTGGTACTTTTTATTTAGGCAGTCTTTAAATGTGTGCTTTTGAAATAGCTTATTAAATATGACCCTTTCAAAATTTAAGTCTCACAATATTTACAGCGATCTTTGTGCAAATATATCCTGACTATGGACTTCCTGCTCCCCCTTTGAGTTAATAAATTACAACCATCACAGCAAAACCAAGTTATTTCATTTACTGCATCTGAGATTCTAGTTTTCTGTTTGGTGGGTAAAAAGCTAGGCTAAGAGGATGCCAGGAAAGAGCTAAGTCAAGCCCAGAGTAAAGAAAATGGGTTTTGAGGTTTTTTTTGTTTTTTTTTTTTAATCAAAAGAGAATTAGAACAAGGCCTTGCTTTCCACTTGAAAACATGTCCCATGATAACATGGAAATACATTGAAAATTGTTTGCTCATTCCTTTTAATCAAATAAGCAAACCCAGAAAGGTCAAATTCTATGGGACTCTGGACTGTCAGGGAATGTTATAAAAATGACTGAGCAGGCCAGCCACTGGGCTGCTCTGATCCTCCCTTGCTACTCTGCCAGGTCCTACCTGTACCATCTGCCACAGGCTTCATGCTAGGCACAGAAGCAACATACCTGAACCCCAGCCAAGAAGCAAGGTGTCCTGCCAGAAAACTCTTCAGCTGGTAACCCACTGAAGACATTTCTACTGGAGAACACATTTCCCTTCCTGTCTCTGGGTGGAAAGATATGTGGCCAAAGAAAAGGAACACAGCAGCCAGTACTTGGGAAGTTGGGGCTCCTATGGAAGCAACAACTGACTTAGAGATGGCTGTGACAAATCAGATTAGCAATCGGACCTTCAGTGTCTGGGAAATGGCAGTTTAAAACCCCATTTCAGACATTTCATATCTGAGAACAAACTATGCCCTTCCTAAAACTTTGGGTTTTATTCCTCTGCCTTTTAAGGGAACATGAACTAACATCTTAATAATCCTAGTATGCAAAAGAGTCCCTAGTATGGGAACAAAATTTTTAGATTTTCTAGCTTTTCACTAAAGACATTGATGGGCAATTGTAAAATTACAGATTAGAAAACAAACTAGAAAAAAAGTCGAGTCATTTGAGAATTTTTTTCAACCACTTCTCCGTCTAAGGGTCAGGTCCTCTAGTGACAGAAGCCACAACCCTCTAGCCCAATGTTTGTACCTATTGTGATCCCAACTCTGAAAACAGTTACCACAAGCATTCCTTCCAGAATGACAGTAAGGAGTGGAACATCCCATGCTCACTGATTCCCCAGAGCTGCTACACAACAGCGCTGACTCCTGTCTCTTCTGAGCCGACAAAGGCTGTCTATGCAGTAGGTGGACAGGTCTCCCTCCTTGCCTCCTCCCTCAGGGACACTGAGGTGCTATCAGTTGTGCTCCTCCTGCTTGGTTGCTTGTGGTGACCCAGGGTTGGGCTCTAGAGTTAAACTTGGTTTTATCAATGTTTAAAACAACAGCTGATTTCACATAAGCAATCATAGACTTGATTAAAGTGAATATATTATTCTAGGTTGATTATTTTCCCCATTCAAATGTTTATATTCCATCTACCTTGAATAATCAGTTGAGAAACACAGCCTTCCCATGAACGCAGGCCCCTGAAACAACACTGTACACACTGGGCAAAGGAGACAAGTGACTGCGGCAGGAGAGGGCAGATCCTCACGGGGTTGTTTTCTTCAAGTCTCGGATCTGTTTAATCAGGTAGTTCTTCTCGTCAGTGAATTGCTCATCATCTGTCCTGTCTTTTTGAAAGCCACTCAGAAACTCAATGAGTTTGGGTTGATTTTTTAGCAGAATCTCCACAATGGGCTGTGTTTTGTGAGGACTGGCCACAAACACCTGAAACAGAAGGAAACATATACCTAGGGTAAGACTGCACACCACAGACCTCACGGACCTGCTCAGGGTTCCAGTATGCCTGGGTTAGGGAGCCACAGAAAGCCCAGGAGCTTCCTCATGGAGCATGATTGGGTTGCCTTGCTTGTCGATCACCTTGGTTGCTGTTCAGGAGTACAGCAGAACCATCTGCGGATGCTTGACTTTGCTTTCATTTTAAATATTTGTTTTCTAACTATAAAACCGTTCAAACAGAAAGAAGCCTAACAGACACCAACATACTCACCACTCCAACTGAGCAGACGCTGCCATTCTGTTTCACACGTAAGCAAACTTGGGAAATGAGACATTACAAGCCAAAGCGAACCCTGCCTTCCATATCTCCAACCTCACTTTTCTCTTCTCTGACCATACGTGCTTATTTTTTTTTAATTTGTTCAATATTTTATTTATTATTTTCATTTTATGCATATGAGTATATTGCCTGCATGTATGTGAGTGCACCTGTGTCGTGCAACGCTGCAGAGGTCAGAAGAGGGCTTTGGATTCCCCTGGAACTGGAGTTAAGGACAGTTCATAGCCGCCATGTGGGTGCTGGGAATTGAACCCGGGTCCCTCTGCAAGAGCAGTCAGTGCGCTTAACCACTGAGCCATCTCTCCAGCCCTGACCACACATGCTTATAAGGTATGGATCAATACAGTGTTTGGATATGCTTATGTTTATTTTGAGACAGGGTCTCATGTAGTCTAGGCTAACCTTGAACTTACTATGTAGGTGAGGATAACCTTGACTCCCATTGTTTCTCTTTACACAGGGTTTCCCTATAGCCACAGTTGGCCTAGAACTTGGTATGTAGACCAGGCTGGCCTCATTCTCATAGAAATCTACCCACCTCTGTCTCTCAAGTGCTGGGATTAAAGGCATTTTCCACCAAGCCGGGCTTAATCATTTATTTTGATTATACTCAAGAGAACAGTTTCCTTCTCACAGTCCTTTCCTGGAGGTCACAAAAGGCATCAGTTTCTTAGATATGTGAAGATTTGAAAAGGATAAACGCCCCCAGAGACTCCAGAGCAAACCTTTGGGGTAGGCCTGGTTTCTGGATTTTCACAAAGTTTCTCAAAGAGTCTTAGGTATGCTCAGGAAGAAACCACAAGCCTCAACTACAATCTCTGACTATGGGCTAGGGTTATAGCTCAGTGCAGTCTTGCCTAACATGAGCAAGGTGTTGGATTCAATTCCCAGCATCACAAACAAAACAAAATAAAAGAAACTAGGTTGCATGGTAAAAGACAGTAAGAACTATCACAGGATGGGGCTGAGGATGTAGCTTAGTGGTAGAGTGCTTGCCTAGCATACACAAGGCTCTGGGTTTGATCCCCAGCACTATATAAACAATATACCTCCATGGCTGTATGAAGAGAATACAGGTCAAAGGGACATCTCAGAGCACCTTTGCTCCCAGCTGCCTGCTCTGCAGCCCCAGCAGCACACACCTCTACGGTGAACTCACTGGGAGGAGACATGGTGAGTGCAAAGTCAAGCCCTCAGGATTCCTCTACCTCAGCAAGAGAGGAGAAGCTGAAACTCCCATAAGCTCCGATGAGTGGGGAGTATGAGGACATACGAGTTCAGCTTTGAGGGGAGAGAACAATGGCACGGGCAGTATATAAGCTAGTCCATGCGTCACCTTGAGCACTTCTACATGTGGTAGCAGAAGAAAGTATTCCAGGAATATGGAACTGCACTAATGGCGTGGCAAGTCCTGGCTCTGAGATCATTTCCTCTCCAGCAGGGTTGGGAGTGTGGCAGAAGATGCCAGCAGTGAACCAGTCTACTGGGAAGCCCCCAAAGACCCTCTGCCATCACTGCAGCATGTAGGGGTGGGTGGTCCTGAAGTGTAACAACTGTGATTCCATTTGATAGATAAGGAGAATGAGGTTTAATGAAGTTGGGAAACTTAGCTGCACATTGTGGTGGCTGAACATGGACTCTGATGTACAGCGCCTCGGTTCAAACCCCAACACTATCACTTAATAGCTGTGTGATCTCACACCTGTGCTTTCATCTGAAATTTGGGGAGGACAGCTCCTGCAGTCCTTATGGTGAGGCTTAATGAGAAAAATCACAGGCCTTCTCATGCAGGCAGAGCACAGCATCCAACAAGCATCCAGTGGGAACTGGCAGGACTCAGTGCTCCCAAGCTCACAGAGCTGGTGCAGGTTACAACTCATCTGCCCTCTGTGAGAACAGACTCAGATATACCACTCTGCTAGAAGAGGACAAGAACTGTGAGCCCAGACCCACAAGTCTCAGTGAGAGAATTTGAGTGATGTTTTCTGAAATGACTCAAATACAAAAGATAAGAATAGCCTTAATTCTTGCTGCTTCTGTTCTCTTCATCGCCAGCCTTGGGGCTTCTGCTCCCTCAGCAAGCACCGAACAGTGTGGAGCCCGCTGGGAGCACTGTGATCCCTGAGGTCATTAGTGGCTCATAATGGAACAGTCTCTACAGCTTGCACTGCTGCTTATAGTAACCCCAACCCACCAGGTCAGGAAGCCCATGAGTAGCAGGAAGAGGGTCTCCTAGGCTTCCACTCAGCAGCTCAAGAGCTACAGGGTGACAAGGATCTGATCTTGGACCTTCTTGGCTACACAGAACCTTAGGCCCTTCTTAAACCACCACCAGAACAAAGAACTCACAAGAGGAATTAGTAAATACCTTGCGAGACATAAAAAAATGCAAACACAACATACACGAACTTAAGAGATGCACTAGAAACAGTGCTCAGGGAAAATTACAGTTGTATATTCTTATATTCAGAAACAAAGCTCTCAGATCAATAAGCTAACTTCATACCTTAAGAAAAAGGAGAAATGAAAGCTCTAAAAAAAAGGGAATAAGGATTTGAACAGAGATAAACAAAACAGGAAAAACCACAGAGAATGAATGAAGCCAAAAGTTAGTTCTTTGAAAAGATCAACAACCTTGATAAATCTTTAGCCAGACTGTCAGAGACTCAAAGTACTAAAAGCAAAAACTAAAATAGAACATTACTAAGAATTTTACAGAAATAAAAATGGAGAAGGTACTAGGAACAATGCTATGATATGATGATCTATCAGTTACTTGTCTCCTTGCAGTGAAAAATACCTGACAAAAATCAGCTTAAACAAAGAAAGGGTTATTTTGGCTCACAGTTCCAGGGGATACAGTCCATTGTGAGCAGAAAGTCATGGCAGCAGGAGCAGGAGGTAGCTGGGTACCTTGTGTTAGCATTCAGGAAGCAGAGAGAGAGGAAAGCTAGCACTCAGCTGCCTTTCACTTTGTATTCAGTTCCTGACCACAGAGCATGGAACAGTACTACCCACATTTAGGGTGGGTCTTCCCACCTCAACCTAATCTAGACAGTACCTCACAGATCTGTCCAGAGGCCTGTCTCTTCAGTGACTCTAGATCCTGTCAAGTTAACAATCAATATTAACCATCACAGATAACTTTGATAGAATAGTTAAATTCCTTAATAGAAAATCTCAACAAACCTATTATAAGAGATCAGTAACCAAACCCATAAGAAGGAAAAGCCCAGGGCTAGCTGATTTTAACCAGTAAATTTTGAACTGACATTTAAAGAAAAAGGAATACACTATTTCTCAAATTCTTATTCATAGAAAGAGGAACATTCCCTAGTCAGTTCTATGAGGCCAGCAATCCCCCAGTACCAAAACTAGACAAAGCAATGAGGAAAAAAACTACAGGATGATATCCTTTTTGACTGAAAGGGAAAATCCTCAAGAAAATGCCAGTGAACCAAGTCACACTGTGTATTACAAGGGTTGTATACCAGGTCCAAGTGGGATTTAGTTCCACATAAGAAAATCAACGAAAGGCATCACATGTGCCAGCCTAAACTGTACTCCCAATAAAAAAAATTAGTTTATTAGCCAGGTGTGGTGGTGCACGCCTTTAATCCCAGCACTTGGGAGGCAGAGGCAGGCAGATCTCTGTGAGTTCAAGGCCAGCCTGGTCTACATAGTGAGTTCCAGGACAGCTGGGGCTACAGGGAGACCCTGTTTCAAAAAGACCAAAAAAAAAAAAATTAGTTTATTAGTACCTGAGGATGTTATGCCCTGTGGAATTGGGGACTTTATATCTATACATCAAGCTTAGATGAGGTCATAGTGGGCTAGAGGATCCCAAATCTAATGACTGGTGAAAAGACACTTCAGACCTGGCGACATGGGCATGCAGAAAGGAACACATCAGGTGTGATGTACAAGTCAATAAATGATAAATGCTGGCAACTACCAGAAGCTAGGAGAGAGAAAGGAAGGATCCTGAAAGAAACATCTTGACTTCTGGTCTCCAGGATGGGGAGAATGTGTTTCTGTTCTTCCTAGCCACTCTGTGGTGCTCTGCTATGGGCCTGGGAAACTAGTGTCACATTAAATGAATAAAGAAAAACCACGCGGGCATTTCAATGCATTCAGAGAGTATTTGACAAAATTCAACATTCTTAAGGTAAAAAACACTATAAGAGACAATTCGAAATCTACATTTCCAAAAAGAATGAAATAGGCCCTCATTTCATACCATATCCAAAAATTATTAAAAGTGAACCAGAGGCCTAAATATAAGAGCTACTAAAACATTCATGCATTCATGATGTATTTGGTAATGGTTCCTAGATATGACCCCAAAAGTACAAGCAGCAAAAAAAAAAAACAGATAAGCTGAACTTTATTAAAATTTAAAGCCTTGAACTCTCTTACAAGAGTTAAAAAAAAATCTATAGAACGGGAGAAAATACTCGCAATTCACATATCTGATTGGTCTCATATCTAGAATGCATAAAGAACTCTTACAAATCAACAAAAAGACAAACAAATCAAATAGAACTTTCTCCAAAGGTGGTAGGAAAGTGATCAAAATAACAAAAAAAGCCCCAGAGCATGAGTCTTTGGGGAAATGTGACTCAAAACCCCAACAAGATGAGCTTTT